TCATGGTCCCCTTCCCATGGCCTCACTTCCTGCTTTAGGCCAGAATTTTGGGACTTCCAGCCGATACTATCTATCCTCCAGGGGGCACTTCACATGGTGCCCACCCCATTCCTTCTTGTGTCAGAGGGATGCTCTCACAACCTGTGCTGACTTTCTGGTGATTAAAAGTACAAATGCAAAAAGCAAAATGATTTCAGTAGATCAGCCTCCTGTCCATTTAACATATAGGTTTTAGCCCTTTTTTCTTCATGTGGGAGACAGACCAATCTTATAGAAAATAAACAAAATCAAAATTTATTATTAAAAAGGTAAAGAAAACTTGGAAAAAAAATTCAACTTCAAAAACCCAAAATGCAAATATCAAGTCTTGAAGGAGATAAATTCAGAACTGATAAGACCATGATTAGCCATTTAGTTAAATTACAGAAGAAAATGCAGTTCTGCAGCCAGATCACAAGCTGATAATGGTCTGCTAGAAATAGTTTTCTGCTAAAAACTTTATTACTACATGAAGATTTTATCAAAATATTATAACTTCCTATCCACTGGGAAACAAGGCCTATTTGATCAGCCGCCCCAAGCACCTGATGGACCTCAAAGGGTTTCAAAGGGAGTTTGGGGTCACTGACTGAGGCTTTGGTTGCCACTTGGAATAGGGGAGGGGGGGCAGCTGAGGCCCTAGATCAAATCATACCTTTGCAAACTCTCTCTGTTTGTGGACTCTAGAGCGCCGTTTGATTTTCAGATGACCTCTGGGGGATGAGTCAACAGAAAAGACTCTTACAGCACCACTGGAAAAGACAAAGAGTTACTCTGGCTGAGCCCAGGTAAGAGCTTTTTTAAAGGTTTACCTTCTGGCAATAAGAGTGGCAAAATGTGTTTCTGTGCTCTTAACGCGTCTGCCAAATGTTGGCTGACAGCTGTGTTTGGGGCAACTTATGCCCTCCTGGATGAGGAGCCAGAGGAGCCCCTATGGAGCTGCTGTGTGAACTGTTCTAAACATCTGGTGGATAAAGTCACTCAGATTTGCTCTGAGTTGCTCCAGTTATGTGGGTGCCATGGAGATGACTGAGACACAATGCTGCCAGTTACCTGGGATGAGTTTGAGCTGGACAGAGTCCTTGTAAGTAATAATAATAAATGGTATTAGTATTCTTAACTTTGGTTTCCTAGTTTGGACTACCATGAATGGCTGACATCAATGGAGGGCTAGGTTCAAGGTGCGGGGAGTGCTTCCATCCTAGTCTCCTTGACCTTTCAGCAGGCTTTGATCCACTGACCATGGTATCCTTCCAGACTGGCTGTGGGGGTTGGGAGTAGAAGGCACAGTGTTTTGGTGGTTCTTCTCCTTTCTGCAGGGTATCTCAGAGCTCTACATCCTCTCCACTTTTGTTTAACATCTATGTGGAACTGTTGGGTAAGGTTATCTGTCAGTATGGGATGAACTATTATCAGTACAGGTAGTCCTCAACTTACGAGCATTTGTTTATGACCATCCGAAGTTATGACAATGCTGAAAAAAGTGACTTATGACTGGCTCTCACACTTACGTCTGTCGCAATGTCCCCACGGTCACATGATCAAAATTTGGGTGCTTGGCAACTGGCATGTATTTACGACAGTAGCAGCATCCCAGGGCCACACAATCGTCATTTGCAACCTTCCCAAAAGGCTTCCAACAAGTAAAGTCAAGGGGGGAAGCTGGATTTGCTTAACAACCACAACGATTCACTTAACGACCACAGCAAAAAAGGTTGTAAAATCAGGCACAACTCACTTAACAACTGCATTGCTTAGCGATGGAACTTCCAGGCCCAATTATGGTCATAAGTCGAGGACTACCTGATGATACTCAACTATACATCTCCCCCAAGGGCTGACCAAGTGATGTTATCAATGTGCTGACCCAAGTGTCTGGAGGCTGTGGAATTCTGGTTGGGGAGGAATAGGTTTGAACCCAGTCCCATCAAGACCAAGTGGCTGTGGCTTTTGGATCTCAGAATTGGAAATTTTACAATTGGGCCTAATCCTGCTAGCCTTTTGGAAAGCATTAAAAACCTGGTTCTTCCCCCAGACATTTGGGCTGGGATGTTAAATGTGCCCATCTCGGAAGATGATATTATTTGTCTGACACCTAGATTGCATGCCTGTTTTTTTGCTCCACTATTGTTTGTAATGCCTGGTTAGCTGTCCAGAGTTGCCCTGGAAAGTGAATGGCCATATAAATTGATTATATAAAGAAACCTGAGATCTGAATAGAAGGCTGAAGTTACACACAATTTCTGACCTTGCAGAGGGAAATACAGGCAAAAAGACAAATGCCTTAGCACGACACAGAAAAATAAAAACGCTAATGCATATTCCTCCCTAGACTTATTGCCTATTTTTACAAAAAACAGAATCTTCTTTAAACAGATGTTTCCTCTGCTTCAATTACCTGCACTTCACTTTTTCCTGGAAATTCTAGGAACTATAATTGGAGGGTGGTGGGGAAGGATGTTAGCCCTATGTTTTTCCCAGCCTTGGTTCCCAGCTTCTTCTGCCCTTTGTTTTTAAAAGGCCCATGCCTTTCCTATCTCAAAGAGAGGCAAGAAGTGGAATAATCTCTCTATATACATTATCAAAACCCATGCCTCACTCATGGGTGAGTACTAAGTGTCTGAGCCGAGCTGGCAAGAAAAGATGTACTTTCATAACATCTAGCTTGAGTGTATAGAAAGTAGAGTTATAATCAACCAAGCAATCTAATTTTAGGCCTCTTCTTCATTTAGATCAGCAAGTGCCTGCACTTGCCATTTTTGTCAAGTTCCTCTTTCTCTTGCTTTAACAACATAAATTGAGGAAAACTAAATGCATATAGTGCTGCAGTGGCATCAACAGCAGCCAAGTAAGGCATTAAGGCAAATCAAGTGAATGACTACATTATGTGTCATGTTTAATTTACTGAAACCAAGAGGCTTCTAAAATATTTGGTACATCACTCAAAGAATCCAACTAGAGAGGCACCTTTCAGATCTCTTCCAATAAATGGAAAGCGGTAATCAATAGAGATAGTTCTGCACCCTGACAAAAACTGCCTATGTTCTCTATAATCTTGATCTGCTTTAAATAAAAAGAGGGCTTCACATTGGCTCCCAGTGATGGGTGTGTTACAGTGAATTTGTTGTTTCAGCTTTAGGGGCAGAATAGACTAGAAGCTGAGAGAATGTTGCTTTCTGCAGCAGGAAGATTAGGAGGATGTATGGACTTATCCACCAAAGCTATGGCATTATGGGGTGAGCGAGCAAAACAAATTATACCTAATAGCAGAAAAATAATGCTATTAGAATGCCTAACAACCATTACTGCCATACTCTTTGGGGGACTTTGCTCTTGAGATGCACTGAAAGCCAACAGTGGTGAAAGCACCATCCTTACTATCCTATAAGCTCTTTAATGCCCTGGTAGTCATGTCTTCTTTTTGTTTACGGACCCTACATTTATATACTGTGTTTACATACTACTTTACATACTACTTTACATACTACTTTACAGCTTATAATTTAATAAACCTAACATAACTGAAAAAGGGATAAGGAAAAAAAAATGCAAGGTGAATATTTAGTTCCCAACTTCCCTTGTGTTGTATTCCGATATACAATATTTATAAACATTTAACATTTTGATATATTTCTGATTTCAGTTCTTAGGTCAATTCTTTTTCCCTTAAAAAGCATACTCTAAATGTTTAAGTTTGCCTTGCTATATGCCATATATAGCATACATGGTAGCCATTCTTGCTTAAATTTGGTTAAACTTCGGTTGTGAAGATACAATGTTAATTTTGCTATTAATGCATATTCTCCAAGTTTAAGCGCCCGGTCTGATATAATCGGTAACTATTTTTTCCAAAAGTGTGCTAGGTTTATTCTCACGGTTGTGAACATGTATCTTAGTAAATTATGATATTTTTTATTGATACATCTTGGAATTATGCCTAGTAAAAAAAGAAAAAGTGGTTTCAATTCAAATTTGATTTCTATAATTCTCTGAATAGTGCTGTGTATTAATTCCAGTACTTTTGAGGTTTTTACATGTCCACCACATATGGTAGAATGTTTTTTCTGAATCATGGCATTTCCAGCATTTATTA